ATATTGGACGCTTTCGGGTGCGAAATGAAAAAACTAGAAATAACGTCGGAGTTTACTTTTGACGACAAGCTACGATGTCTAGAATTAGAAATGCTTTTTTTGTTGATCATGTTTGTTGGCGGTACGAGTCATGCTCAAAAAAGAACCTCCTTTTTACGTCCGCCCATTATAAGCTAGTTAAGTGAAGAATCGCTTTTTCCTGCCTATAGGCAATTTGAACTGGATCTTGCCACCGCCAGATAGAGTGCAGTTTCTCGCTCCAAGTTCACTGCCTTCAACAAGCAGGCTTTACTAATCCCGAGCTAACTTCCATTGCCGAGACTCTCTTAACGTCACTAAGAGTGCCTGACAAGAGACAAAGCAATAGCTAACTCAACAAGCCTCATTCTAGCAAGGCTCTTATTCCCTACGTACACGAAGTTTCCGAAAGGCTAAAGAAGGTCACTGGCAAAATAGGTGTAAGAGTTGTGTTCTGCGCACACGATAAATTCGCTGGGCAATGTCACAGGGTCAACAGCGAAGGACCTTAAAAAGAAGCATGCACTAAGAAACACGCTTCGTGCCATTTTGAATGTGTTTTAGCGATTCTCTACAAGATATTTTTTACTTTTGGCCATGGTGACATTGGCCAGTCACAGCAATGCATGAATGATCGGTTGAGGGAGCACGCTAACTCTCTAAAAGGTTTCCTTCCCAGCCACTTGGCAGACCATTGTAATAAGTCTTGTTGCCAGCCAATTCTTGACAAGTGTTTGATCCCGGGGGATATAAAAATCGGCGCGAGCAGGAGATTAGTGAAGCTTTCTATATTCAACAACTTGGTGCTTCCTGTGTTAGCGTACCCTCAATTTTTCCTAACTGCTGTGAAGTTAGTTATCTGGGGTCCATTTACATGAGCGGTTGGTAAGGTAGGCCGTATGGTGCATGTATGTGCAATGCTGCTTATGGTGCGTGGTTATGCGCAGATTCTGTTTTCTATATATCGCAGTTCATTTGCAATAAACTTTGATTGTTTCTTCAGGGCTCTGTTCTCGTTTCTTCTTTCCCTTCTCGTCGTTTGCGCTGTTAAGCACTTTCTTTGTCTACCGTACAGCACCAACCAGTCGTATCAAGCACTTTGTTAGTCTTGGAGGCGTATGTGCCAGTGAAATTACACTAATATCACTGCACTTCAAACATTTTACACATGAACTTGTACTTAACACGTAAACAAATTTTGGTATAGAAACAAGGAGCAGTACTTTTAAACTACCTTCCCACAAACTACACTGAAACGACATTCCGGTAAGTTCAGAAGGTAACTACGTGACCGAAAAGTTTTTTCTTCCGAAAATATTTTACTGTTTCACTGTTTTCAATGCAGCAAATCATCACAATTTTTTTCGAATACATTTGAGATGGTCGCTAAAATAGCTGGGATGTTGGGCGTGGATTGACCCATTAGTGAATCAACCTCTTAAGCTGGAGACATCCAGGCCGTCTCCAGTTTATCATACAACTCTAACATTATGCATTGTACACAGTTTTCTACACGCACTGCTGTTAATCTGATGGCAAACTGACACTCGTATAGGAAGTATGAGTAGGTATATAGGACACATAGCTTGATATGAAGCCTTTTCCATAAGAGGAAAGTTCCTAAAATGTACAAGATCTTTGGTGCACCCTATGAGTAGCGTCCGCCCCTGCTGTAACCCTTTGAGTGAGGTCATGAGCCTGGAACAGCTGCTTTCAGGTTGTGATGAAGAGTGCACTGCATCGTCAGCACCCAGTCCATCGTAGAAGACGTAGTGTGCTTTCCTTTCAACATTCTGCATGTAAGGGATGCACAACATTCAACTAAACATTTAAAAATACTGGGAACAATCAGAACCTCATTATGATGTGTCATATAATAAAAAGCTCCAGCTTCCCCACTTTCACCTTTACCACTATTCACTTTTACGTTCACAAGCATCTGTGCATCAAGTTCACGAATGCAAGTGCCATGTTTGAGTATTGACCAAGGTGGTGGTGAAAAAGTGCTTCTCTCTTGAATCATAGACCTACCAAGAAGTTTGAAATATACTGGGAAGCTCAAATTTCAGCATTTATACCAAGTTTTCTTGCTAAGCTAGAATACCCTAACCAATAGGCCACTACAATGGGTGATACGAAAAATTATATAATCCCATAGAAAAGTATCAATATTTATCATTTACTTTGAAGGATCGTTGTGTAGACATGTACACATCACAGCTGCACAATCTACTGTGTGAAACTGGTGTAAAACATCGAGCAAGCCCCAATCTGGAAGGATCAACAGAACTTACAAAATGACAACTGCTGCTGGAAACACAGTACTGTGTATTTGTGGTAGCTCACCTCTAAATTTCTTTTCCAGTTACATACATTTGGTGTATTGGATAATTTTATAATATGTCTTTCACAGGTTGCTTATTGGTCAACAAAATGATTACTTTAGGCCAAGAGTAAAACCAGAGACTGGTCACGAAACTGCTCCGTAACTCAATGGGAGAGCTTCATATGATGCGTTGGGTTGCCGCGCGGTGGCGCCACCATCTCACTGAGGGGATTCGTCGGGCTGGTCGGGCGGCGTTGCGCTGGCTCGAACAACGCTGCGAGTTGTTTGCTTTGTGTGGGAAACGTGCATATCGTGCTGTTGTGATGCGGCGTTAGTGCAGCGACGATGCCGAACACGGGTTGTGTCCCGGGATGTCGTTCCGGGTACAAGGGCAGAACAGAAAAAGTTTCCTTGTTCTGTTTACCCAGCGATGGCGTGCTGCGCGAGAAATCGAAGCGCTTAATTCCAAAGCAAGAAACGGGTGACTTTTGCTTCGACTCTAAGTATGTGAGAGTGTGCGAGAAGCATTTCGATGACAGTGACATCGTCCGCGCAGATGAATTTGTGGTGAATGGCGAAAAAGTGTCACTTCCGCGCGACAAGTCCCTTCTGAAGCCTTGTGCCATTCCAAGGAAGTTTGACGGCTCGCCAGCGTATTTGACGAAGCCGAAGCAGCGGTCACGGACCCTGACAAGAAGGTCCCCAGCGAAGCGACGTCGTGAGTCGTCCTCATGTGCCCGTGAAACAGAAGTTCACGCCAAACCAGGCACATCGGGTGCCGCGTCGTGTGATGAAGGTGAGTTTACGTCCAATGTTGTTTTAACTTTCTTGCCCGTGCAGTGATTATATCGGTGAAATTTCGAAGGAGTGTGTGAGCTGAAAACGCGCTATTTGAAATGATTTTTGAAATTGTTTTGCAGATCTTGCACTGCCCACAGATCTTGTCGGCGAGAGGCCAACGCGCACTTCGGACTCGGCGTGCCAGACAGATGAATTTACCAGCCCTCTCGCCGAGGTGAAACTGCTAAAGGGCCAACTTCGGGCAACGAAACAACAGCTGACGTTGTGTCAGACGAAATTGGCCAAGATGAGAGTCAAGCGAGCAAGCACAAAAAACTTGAAGAAAGCCTTCAAAAAATGTCAACCCGCACGAAGTTGATTTTTGATCAGTGCGTGATGAAGGCGAATGCCAAGTCTGCGAAAGCTGCCAGGTAAGTTTAGAAAACAGGCCAGTGCGTGTAGGATGTTTGGGAGCAGTGTTGGTGTATTTCGGTGTCAAATTTGGTTCTTCAGATTACCCCACCATGCTTCTTCGCTGAAAATACACTTTAATGTTAACATTCCTCGGGCATGTTGAGAATATTGATTCAACAGGCCAAATGCGTGTCACCAGATTGATTTTGTTTCAGCACCCCTTATTTTTTATTACTCCAGCAGTTTTAAATAAAAGTTGTGTTTGCTTTCCACAGCATTCCTTTTATCCTTAACGTGCCAACAGTCTCACTTTGCAGTGTCTGTTGCTTATTGAGGATGAATACAATTGCAGACGTATGAAGTTTTATACATTTTCGTATTGCCCATACTACAAGGTTGGAGAATGCGCTGCATATGTTTGCATTGTGTCAAATGCTATGGTTGCATAACATACGATATGCCAGAGAAACGCCTGATCGCATGTATTTATCCTGAACATGGTTCCTCTGTGCCTACTGTTCATTGGGCTTTCAGCACATGCAGCTCGAAAGCAGCATACAGCATGTCATGGAATGGGGTATTCTTGAAGCATCTACGCATGAACCGGGTATACTGTGCTTGTATCCTTTTAGCAGTTTCGCTACTGTAAATGCATGTGAAATTCATTATAAAACAACTTTACTATTTAATGCATGTGTTTCAGGATGATGAGCCCCCTCTTCTATTTTTGGTGTCTGGTGCACACACATTATGCATGCATATAAAGCATCTTGTCTGTGTCATGTACATGCATGTAATTCCAAATGCACTGCACGAATGTTTTTTATCCTGAAGGCCCACTATGTAGCATGTTTCGAAATGTGAGAACAGTTCCCTAGTTTTCTCTTTAGGTACAGGAAAGAATGGCTTTATGACTGTCTCCTTCTGAACGTTAAGTCGACGTCTGTGTACACGTTCCTTCATGAGAACGAATTTCTACCTCTCCCTAACCCCCACACTCTGTACACTTACATGAAGAACCTGAAAGCTGACTTTGGGTTTGATGCAAACTTGTTTGCTGTTCTGAACGAAAAGCTTGCAGCGGTCCCAGAGAGAGAACGACGAGGTTTGAAGAAATATCTATATTTAAAATCAAAAGTAGTGCCTGTGACTTTGGCATTATCCCTAAGCCATTTGGCCATTTCTATTTTGCAGGAGTACTCAAGTTTGATGAGATGAGTGTTCGCAAAAGCCTGCATGTCAGAGAATCTGATATGGCCCTGCTTGGAAAAGTCAACTTTGCTGAACACACCAGGCCAGGGGATAACGAGAAAGACGCTGATCATGTGTTGGTGTTCCTGTTTCGGCCCTTTCTTGGGGGCTGGTCGCAAACTGTGGGAACATTCTGCGCTTCCAGCGCTGCTCCTGGTTCTGTTGTGGCCAAATTGCTGCTGCAGTGCATTGTGCACTTGGAAAATTTTGGCGCTGTTGTCCAGGCTGTGACATGCGACAATTCTACAAGCAACCGGTCAGCTTTGAGGTCGTTGGGTAACAACTTTTTCCTGTGACATTCCTAGAGTACTGCTGTAATATATGGTTATACAGCTGAAATTTCTTCTTTCCAGGCATACATGGGGACAGAAAAAACCCACAAACATCATTTCAACACCCCTGTGACCCGTCAAGAGAGATTTACACTGTCATCGACCCACCGCACATTTTCAAGTGCATAAGAAACAATCTTCAAAAGGTTGGGAAGTTTCTGGTAAGAAAAACGAGGCGTGGTTATGCTATACTTTGCTGTACAGATTGTTTACAACAATAACTGAAATTTTGTTTCAAGCTGCCAGAGGGTGACGTTTACCACGATAATTTCAAGTCCCTTTTGGGGTATGAGGAAGACCAGGCTGGACTCCGAGCTGTGTCTAAACTGACAAAAGCCCACATAATGCCTAATGCCTTCCAGAAAATGAGTGTGAGACTTGCTGTTCAGGCAAGTAATATTATGACTTTTTCTTGTGCAGCAGGTAGCATGTTTGGGAAACTACTCCTTCAGCCACACCTTACTGATTTTTTATCTTCAGTTGTTCAGTGAATCTACAGCTGCTGCACTGGAGTTTTACAGCAGGCAAGATGTGTGCAAGGAGCTGCATGATTCAAAGGCGACCGTGGCATTCACCAGACGAATGAACGGCCTATTTGACTGCTTGAATTCTCGGAGGCCAGAACACGTGCAGTATAAGGAAGCGGAGCACATTGCAGTGAGAAATACCACTCAAGACTTTATATGTTAATATGGGCATCCTGCTTTTATTTATTGTTACAGATGTAACATGAATATTTTTTAGACATTAAAAGAGAACGTGACATGGCTGAACAACTGTTGTGATTACATTGAGAGTTTGCCGAAGCAAAGGCAAGCCTGCTTCCTCACCAAGCCCACGTCTGCAGCGCTGCGAGTAACCCTACTCAGTACTATCGCACTTGTGGAGAACCTTCTGGCCTCAGGTTTTCCATATGTGCTGGTTGGAAATTTCGGACAGGATCCTCTTGAGGTAAACATGTAAGCTTTTTTATTTCTGCATTGACTAATCTGTTGTCTCACTTTCAGAGGTTTTTTGGCATTGCGAGACACGTTGTTGGTGACGGAGGGCAACCAACGATTCAACAGTTCCTGTTCATATACCGAATGCTTTCGGTCAACAACCTTGTCCGCCCACCCAAGCGGGCATCAGTTGATTGTGACGGGCCGCAGTTGCTGTTCAAGCTGCAGGACCTCTTCAACAAGGAAGCTGCTCCTGTCAATCATGTACGATGCCATATTGAAAACAAAAGAGCTATTGATAGTTTCTCCATCTGGAATATATTTTCCGCCGAAGAGCTGCTAAGCAGACGTTCACTCAGAATATGCACAGAGTTCATCATTTACCTGTGCATGATATTTTTCCACGAACATGCATGTAAACAAAGAAAATTCTCGTTTCAGGTTGACTCCCTGGCCATTCTCCTGGATGACGTTCTTTTGGAGCCGACTGAAAGTGAGGAAGAGGCCCTCACGGACTTGTCTCCAAAGGAGTGCATTTTAGACTACCTTGCCGGCTATGTTGCCCAAAAATTTTCTGAGATGTGCTGCACCGACTGCGTGGAGTCTTTAAAAGGCTTGCAACAATCACCAAGTGACCTCATTCTTGTGAATTCGAGAGGTTACCTTCAGGTCCCCTCCACCAAACTGCTAAACCTCCTCCGAATTGCTGAAGAGCATGTAGAAGAATTTACGGTGAAGCAAACTGCGTGTGCTGGTGTGTACATCGGTATTGTTGAGCAGATTTTGCTGGACAATCGTACAGCTTCAGCTGCTGTCGGCTGCCCCACCCACTTTGTTGGGACGACTGCTGAAGTTCTACACCTTTTTTTTCGGTGCCGCCTGCATTTTTTCACACGCGAAAAAAATAAGCAGTCACGTGTGACAAAGCGAGCAACATGCCCAGCTGGTGGAGGGAGAAAGCCAAACTGAAGGAGTTGTGTAAAAGCAAAGCAGCCCTTTGCGAGCCTCCTGGACCTATATATGTATAGCTCACTTATAGGCGGATTTTGTTTGATCAGTAAAATAGTAGCTGTGTTTCCTTACTTGTTTGCAAACTTTATAACCTTGTGGTCAGGCTCGCATGCAAAAAAACCTTTCTGGTGTCTTTGTGCTTTCACTTTTAATATTTCCACGAACTATCGCTCAGGATTCGTTTTTTGTTTTGAAACCATGCGTGGCCGCTTCCGGTTTTTTATCTGGTGTTTCAACTGAAGCGACCATTTGCTCTTTTTTTTGTACGTCGCGTCGGGCAATATTGTTGATATGGAAAGGTTGTCACCTTGTCACTAACTTGATTTCTTGTTTGCTCGAAAATATTCTCGACCCTATTTTCATGGATCGAAAATTAATGACGTCCCGAGAGCAATTCATGCATAGCGAATGCCGCGTGACTCACTTTATCGATGTCTTCTGTGCAGGCCACGCTGCGGACTGCTTCTTTGACGTTTGCGTTTCCTTCTAGTCTTTTGCAGAGCATGAGTTCGCTTTAATAAACTTCATTCAGTTGAACTTTACGTTTGTCTTTGTTGCGTGGCAATATTCTGTTTCGTCAGTGTGCTACACATCAAAGCGCAAACAATAAATTTTTGTACGCTGCACCACGCTCTTTTGTCTCCCTTCATAATATTGAAATTTATTTTTGTAGCATGTGATAAAAGTTTGCGCTTCCTTTTTTGTAAGGATTGAAAAGCGGGTTCGCGGAAAGACACACAGTGCAACATACATCATTTCGTGTTTTGATCCTTTCCCTTTATGCAGCGCTTTTAAATGTTACTGTACTACCTCATCGAAAAGAGAATATTACTGGGGTATCTGGGTGCTCAGCGCATTCAAGAGCACTCAACAGATTCATTAAAAGCCTACTCTGAAGGACGCGTACCTGCTTCTTTTCAGTTTTTTTTCGTTGCATTATTGATAGGCCCGCAGCTACGGAGCTACCGTATGTATTGTGGTTACAAAGTTTTCTTGAAGGAAACAAACAAAAGATATTTTAAAATCGGTAAACACGGCGCAGCACTTGCGCCCAAAGACGCGAAAGCAGTTGCCGTTCGTGGCCGAGGTCTGCGGCGATTTATTTGAAAAAATAAAAACCCATTGGAGGCAGGTGGTATACACAATAATTGGGCGATTCATCGCTAACAACTACGAAAAAAAAAAGAAACCCAGCGTGCAAAGACCAGAAGCAGCGAGCGTTTTCATGCCAAAAGCTGGCAAATATGCCGCACGCGCGGCGGCTGGATCTCCTCAGTGCGACGGTGGCGCCAGTAGTGGCGCCCGCGGACCCTATATGAAACTAGCGCCGAAGTTTCATGACCAGTAAAGCATTGAAGGACTCTGATAAAACTGACTACTCTCAAAAATAAATAAGACGTGCTAATCCTATTCTTCGAGTGCATGCATAAGCAGCTCATTCACAGTTGAAGTTTTTTTAATTCGTAAAAACAGTCATGCAACAGATAATGTGTCACAAGTAAGTTAAATATATGCTCAATAAGCTCTGAACTGTTGGACTATAAATATGTATAATTAAAAAAATGCACGACTTATTGGAGAAGTAGCGAACAGGAATATATGCATGGAGGGCTTATTAGTTGGATCAGTGTGTTTACATTCGTAAGGGTGAAACCTGCACCGACCAAATGCATGGAACAGACAAGAGCTGTTAGGTCTGCCTGCTTTCATTTACAGCCACCTGTGTCGCCATTCTCATTTTGTTTTTCGCGAGCGTGTTCTTTAGTGGCTAACTATGCATACACCATTCACATCTGTGCTGTATCAGTCTAACTGAAAGTTTTGTGTGAGTGTTTGTTGGTACACTTTAGCTAAGCTTTCATATGTAACCACAGCGCCAAAACCCTACACCAAAATATACAAAAATATTCTATTCTTCAATATTTTATGTGCCGCACTACAACGGTGCAAAAATTCAAAAATATGTGTGCAATTGAGTGTGGCTGTTCAATCCCTTAATAAAGCAGATCAGTATTTCTATATCCTGATTATTTACGATATACTAGTATTTAATATAAACAAACCTAACAAGGCATAAAAAGCGCAAATCACTGACCAAACAAGGTACATATAAGTTCTTTGGTTAGCTGCACGATTTTTAACAAAACACATGTCACGCCGCTGAAAAGCGCAGGCATCAAAGGGGTACTGATACAAAGTTTAAGTATTTTTGAATTGTTGCTTTAAATAGCGTATTCACTCGCATTAAAAACGCACCCCTCTCTTCCGTCATTGAAATCTGCATTTTTTTTCTCCCGCGTAATACACACGCCCCATTTGTCCACTGCAGTCCCGCTAGCTGACAACTGGCGCCTCCTTTACCATTGATCTGTTTCTTTATTATTATTATTATTATTAATATTATTATCATTATTATTATTATTATTATTATTGTTATTATTATTGGAAATTATTATGCCATTTCTTTCGCCCACCTCGGCTCGCTCAGCTCCCCCTTTTTTTTCTCACCCGCTGCGCATGCCGTAAGGTTTATCTGCGCGCGGCACATCCCCCCGTTTTCTTTAACCAAGCGCCACAGCGACGTTCACGAACACTGCGACTGTTGAGACATCGCAGCTGATAAGCACACAGCGAGCGAAGGTCACGAAGCTACCGGCGCGAAGAGACGGTCGCTTCCTGCAATTACGAGTATTGCGGGAAAATCGGGAGTTGGCAGGCAGGCACGCACTTCTGCACTTCATTGTTCGCATGCATGAAAGCTTACCTTTTCAGCAATAGCACGAAATCCAAAAGGGTTCTCCATGTAGCTCCCAGCGTACACTCCGTTGATTGCTTGATCGGAAACACTCTGGCATAGCACGAACCTGCCTTGAGAATATTTTAAATAGGTCGTGTGCCCACAATATCTCTGCGAGCTTCAAAGCTCAAGTTTCCCGCCTTAAGGCTTCAGGTTTCCCCGAGGCGTTTATCGCGTCTGTTGCTGAGACGATCCTGTGGACTAATAAGGCAGAGCAGAGGACGCGACAGAATCTGAGCAACACGGATACAGAACGTGAAAGGAAAGCCGTGATTCCATACATACACCAGATATCACATAGGCTCAAAAAAATCGGAAAACGTGTTGGAGTTCGTGTCCTGTTTTTGGCACCGTTCAAATTAATCAGCCTCACCAAATCTACCAACCCCCTGAAAACGAAATCATCAACAGAATGCAGAGTTCAACATCGAAACAGGTATGCGTCCTGCTCCCGGGAAGTCGTCTATAGGACCCCCCTTTCATGTGGTGCTTGTTATGTCGGAACGACCGGAAGGTGTCTGAACGA